TAGTGACCTGTATGACATAGTTAGGATCTAGAATCTCGTGTATAGTTGACTTGGAATTACGAGAATTAAGGTGAGAAGTCTTGGTCCATGTGAGCGGTTATGATTATTGATTGTTTTCCAGGCTCGCGCCAGTGTCTTGTTTCGGCCTGGGGTGGGTCTGAGGTGAGGTGATATCGAGATTATTATTTATTTTCCAGGCTCGCGCCAGCGTCTTGTTTCGGCCTGGAGTGGGTCTGAGGAGCAGGGATATTGAGATTGTTGATTATTTGAGATGAGTGATGCGATAGTTGGTTACATGACATCGATTCTTGACTAAGTATGATTCTTGTGAGATATAGGCCGGTTGTACTCCTTTTCATACATAGATCGGGATTAGTATTTAATTATCTATAATTTGAGACATATGGTATATACATGAGGGTTTCCTTGTTTGGATTATTTCGCTCGACGTACTACGTCTCTTGTTGTAGATTTTTAAATATTAATTCTATCTATTGTATGATCTTGTTGCTTGGATGGTTTCTGATCGCTATCTGCATGATCTTGTTACTTGTTGATTTTTGGATTCGTCTGATTATTAGTATTCCAGTTGCACGCCTCTATTGTTATTACTATCATCACATGTTCTATTTCTATTTCTGTTATCACATTGACCATGCGTATTTTATCATTATTATTATTGTATTTTGTTCCTGCCTTGGGGGATCTTGCCGTGTGTTTCACACGCTGACGTACTCCTATTTTCTGGGTGTACGTCAGATTTAGGAGATGAGCAGCCTCAGTACGGGATCGTACAGGAGCCAGAAGATTCTTAGCAGGGGTGTCTTGCAGAAGGAGTAGAAGAACCAGCTTAAGCGTAGTAGTTTTATTCCGTAGTAGTAGTTGGACACTAAAACTCTTTTACCGTACTTTTCTCTAGTTGATGATGGACTTAGTATTTTAACAGTATTTTCTTTATGGACTATGTATTTCTTATTTCCTAGTTGGACTATTTTGTAATAAGGGTAAGTTTGACCCATATTTTATGTCTGGGATGATTTACCATTGATGATATGTCTATTTTATTTCTGGGTTGTCTTTATATTCTTGCTATGTGTGATCGGGGACCTGTGACTTCGTATTGTTTTATTTCCAGACGCTTAGCGTATTAGATTGAGAAGAAGATGTCTAGCACTTATCTCTCCTCAGTCTAATACGTCGCGGGCTTGTTCACGTTCCGATTCCCTGGTATTTTGGGAAGCGGGGCGTGACAAATGTATTGATCCTCTTTCCTACTTTGGACAGTTGAGGACATGTAAGAGAACTTTGTCTTGTTCTGATTTCTTTATCTATCAATTTCCCTTTGTTATCTTAGTTACATGCTCTATGTAGTAGTTCTATGTAGTAGTTCAATCTGACTTCACTTTTTCAAAAATATATATTTTGGTTTGGTTTGAACTTGAACCCGAACCCAAGTCAAACCAGAACCAGTTTGGACCAGCCCGATAGAACCGAACCCAGATTGAACTAAACCAGAACCGGTTTAGACTAGACCCGAACTGAATATGAACCAGACCATAACCGAATTTGAACCAGACCAGTACAAATTACCCAGACTAAACCAGACCAGACAAAATTTTATTATAACCAGTCTGGAACAAACTTAAATATAATTCAAGCCCTTGCATAAAAGCCCTGCCATATGTTCCAAGTCTTTATAGATGGAAGCTTTACATTTACATATAAATTTGTTAACTATAGACCAGCTATTGATTTTAGAGATCACTTGAAAGGTCATGAGTAGACTAAAATCGGCTTATACATATAGTATTTTTTTTGTCTGATATTGTGGTTGACATGAATGACTTTATGAAAAATTGTTACTAAATCACCTAGTTGTTATCCAATAGGAGAGACTGTGCATGAAGATGACTCCTGTTAAAAATATGATTTATAAGCGTGCTTTCATTGCATGGCTATGCTCTCGATATTTATACCCTGATATGAGATTTCCTTGGCTATTATTATTATAGCATCGACTAGACGGTGCACACATTCTTGATTGGACATGTTCTTGGTTCACGGTTATTTTTCATAGTTTTATAGAAGTCGTTCCACAGTAACTCTATGGTTAGTGCACAACATTTCATGCACAGTCAATAAAAATTTAACTGACAAACATGAGGTTTATAAAGGGGAATTGGATGGAGAATATAAAGTGTATATAAGTGGTTCATGTACATACTGATATGATAAATGATAAGGCCTGTACATACTGAGTTGATAAATGATAAGGCCAATGGTCAATACAATACTTGTCGCCGTATTCCCGGGATGTTTTACGGGAAAGCCGATTTATATACATGATATCATTCTCCTCTAATTCAAATAACATATAAATTAAGAATAATGTATTTGTGAGCATTGTGATAGATTTTGTTTGATATTTACGATGAGCCTTTTTCTTATATCACCTCAAAATTTAGATTTTATATTTTATTTATACTTGCTACATACACTTACACGAGCACAATTTCCTTATTTTACATCATTGCTGGGAGTTTTCTGACTCCTCTGGGGTTTGTTCGCCCCAGATTCAGGAACCATTCTTTCTTCGCAGGACCGAGAGTATTTCGAGGGGTAAGCTTAGCAACAGTGATCACTTGTTGTTATATCAGTTCTCTACTTCCCTTGTATTAGGTAGTTACATCGTTATGAGACTTGTCATATAATAAACTTTGGTATTTCAGACTATAATGTATTGATCCTCTTTCCTACTTTGGACAGTTGAGGACATGTAAGAGAACTTTGTCTTGTTTCTGATTTCTTTATCTATCAATTTCCCTTTGTTATCTTAGTTACATGCTCTATGTAGTAGTTCTTGTAGGCAATATATCTGTATACAGGATGATTCAGAGGCGTGAATGTGACCGAATGATTGTATTGCCGGCCGAGTCACGTCCCTAAGTATTTTATTTTGGTACCGGGGTGTGACACATTAGTATGGGTGAAACCTCACATCACAGAGCCACTAAGACAGTCTTTGATAAATGGATGACCAATCCACCTATTAGGCCAGAAACCAGAGAAGCTTATGATGTTTTTATGGGAGGTAGACACATTTGATTCATAAAACGTATCCACCATTAATGCTTTCCCAGATGATTTTGAATATACATAA